CAGCGCCAGTTAGTGCCTGAGCAACCGCAAAGGCGGCGCCAGAGTTGGTAGCTGAAGCTCCGCGAAGTTCAAAGTTGGTCCTGCACTTCCGGATGCTGACGTGCCCAAAGTTTGCCAAGACATATGGTCAGTCGCTTTGCGGTTTCTGTGAGAGACAACTTCAGAAAGCTACGGGTTACGTGGGGATGCTTCGAACCGGGAAACCCCGAGTTGAGGATTTGAAATTCCGGCCCCAAGAAGCACCAGCGCACAGCTGAAGCATCCGCACAAGGAAAGCAAACAGAGTCCGGAGCTTTGTGGTTTCTTCAAAGCCACAGAGCACTTGAAAAAAATGGACGCCCCTTCAACCCCTTCCAATCCCATTTGGTCCACCAAGCCTTTTTCTCGAGGCACAGAGAACTGTCGCCTTTGCGCTCCCGGAGCTCAGGCCGGGGCGCCTACTGAAAGGGGCACTTAGCAAGTGATAGTCAGCCTGGTCATGACCCACTTACCATGCTTACAAGTCTCCCTTCAGTGGGGGAAGAAACCACGCTTTCTAACCACTTACTAAGTACCGGATCGCCCCTATAGGTAGTTTCCATATTCTCCCCTTTGAGTTTTAAAGGGGTTCTATCACTAGTGGAATTAGGATTGTTTTCTTCTGGACTGAACCATTTGAAGACGTGGCACGCTTGGAAGCCCGTGCATTTGCTTTGCGTGTTGGCCATGTCGAGGGAGTCTTCTCCTGGAGGATACAGACAAATGAAAATCACCGCAAACTTCGACACTTGTTCCGGGTATGGGAAACATACAACGAAAAGTGATGCAAAACAATCAGTTGCGTGTTGGACCAGGTAGCTTGAATGGCTCCCTCAGGTGAAGCATAGAGGCGATCTTTCAAGGGAGCGCAGTTGGGAGTTGCCAGCTGACCCATTTGGCTGGTGCTAAGGAGTCAAGGAGTCCAGGAGCTGGGCATATCCAAGATTTTGCCTTCAGTCACGGTCAAAATTTGCGTAGATCACTTTAGTAAAGCGGGGTTAGTTGCAGCATAAAATTGTAGGAAGCATCGCAAAACGATAGGGCCCCCACCAAAAACGATAACATGGTTTGTGTAAACGTTTGCCGCGCTTGCGTATTTCTGGTCAAGACGGCAGAAGGCAGCAGGAAAGTGGAAGCAAGTGTACTTCGAGTACTAGGCTTGTGCTACAAAGTTGCGGTCTTCAAGCTTCAGCTGCGGAAGTGTACTTCGTGTACTAGACTTGTGCTACAAAGTTGCGTGCTGGAGCTGCAGGAGTGTACTCCGCGTTGCTAGACTTGTGCTACAAAGGTGCTGCCATTGTCCCGCAGAATGATCAACTTGGCGTGTTGGATGCTCTTGAGGCTTCATCCTTCAGTGAAAAACCAGCGTGGCGCAAGACGTTCGCAGAAACGCTGTAAAAAGATAGGGCCCCCACCAAAAACGAAAACTAGATTTAATGAACAACTCCTTGGCGAAGACAAGTGATTTTGACGGTAGCTCAGATTCTAAGGAGCTACCAGGTGTTCTGCGAGGATGACATGATAGCCAGCAGAAGGCACCCTTTGGAGGGCAACTTGTGGACTTTCGGAAGCTGAAAAGGCAACAGCCGGCCACGTCTCTGATTGCTAAGACCCTCCATTTGTCAGGCGAAGGGCCTGTGAATTTCCCCAAGCAATGGGTTTCGTTTCGTTGAGGCCACCCGATTTCTGGTCGGTTCCCAGCCATCCTGAAGGTTTTAGGAGTTTAGGTGAGGGTGTTCTTCTAGTCCACTAACAGCGAAACGGTTAGAGCATCTGTGGGATCTGGGCGCTGCCCAGGATTGGTGGCTTTGAAGGGAAACCACACAGAAACCCCAGCATGTTGACCCTGCAGAGAGTCACGGGGGCGGCGTCCCAATTGCCCAGGTCAACATCAACCACCTCATGTCACGCTACAAACAAAGTAAAGCAATGTCGGTGCGTATTCTGCCTAGGTGGTTGCTATTTTGTTTTGGCAGCTTGCATTGGACACACACAATGAGCATGTATACATGACATGAAGGAAGAAACAAGAAATGATATCAGATTCCGCATGTCATGTACATTGTCCAAGTGACAGTTCAAGGGCTTCGCTGGCAGTCCGGCGGGGACTTTGCTTCCGTGGACAATCCATCCCTCCTGTCCTGTCAGAGGACAACTTTGTACTGATGTTCCTTGCTGTGTAGCTCATGTAGCCAGGCAGCGGGGCATGGCATGGTCACACGCGCACTCAAACTTGAAACGGGCATGTCCAAAGTTTGGGGCTAAACAAATTCTGCAAGCGGGGGGGGTAGACACATGGATTTTTCCCTTCGTGAGTCCTTTCTTTCAGAGGCTTTCAACCGGACTTTTCCCGGGTTAAAAAGGACCTCAATGGCCCGAGGCCTTCTGTTCCGGGAAGTCCAATGGATCCAGGCAACTGGGTGCTTCACGAGTTGTTATTTCAGGTGCCGTTTTTGTTTGTATTTGCCGGTAGTGTGGAAGGACGCAACACAAAGGGGTTTCACCAAGGGGCAGGGAGGGTCACACTCAGCGCTCCTGCTCCCAGGCGATCCCTTGAGCTTCAGCTTCCAGATGCAGCCCAGCACCGGCCTCGATGGATCTCCCGGCTTTTTGGGGTAGAACCAAATCTCGATCGGTTTTGAGCGCTCACGTGTGCAACGGTTTTCCAATCTTTTCACCTTTTGGGTTCCATCTTGTTCCCCACAGCATCGTGAAGGGTTCTTCCGGAAAACTCGCCTGCCAACTTGTAGTCGTGAGCGACCTTGCACCTGCACACATGCGTCGGCTCTCGTTTCGATTGACGCTTTCAAGCCCCACAAGTTATGACCAAGAAATCGGGATTCAACAATAATTCAACTGGTGAAGTCATTCTGAACAGGGGTGCATCCGGAGCAAAAGTCCGTCATCCAAGGCGTGATGGTGAGCCCCGTGCCCGTGTCAGCCGTCACCGGAGGCGCGCCGTTTCGGGTGTGTCTCTGTTTTGGTTGCGACCCTTTTGTCCAAGTAGGTGCGTCTTTTTTGGAGTTGATACCCCTGTTTTGGTTGGTTTTACCGGGAAACCAAGGGGAAGCCACCAATTAGTGCCCTGGGAAAGGTTTAGTACCTTCTTATCAACGACCCGTCAGTTGGTGGTTTGGGTTGGTGGTTTTTGGGATTTGAACCCTTGGTTCTTGTAGGGGGTAGCTGGGAACCTGGGAAACCCCTCCAAAACCACCAAATCACCAATCCAAACCAACAATTAAAGGGAAGCTGAAAGTGGGTATTGCCCAACAAAGGACTCGGCACCCTCAAGTGGTTGTTCACATTTTGAGGTGGATGAACATCCATTTGCCGGCCGTGTTCGAACATTTGCGGAGGCTCTTTGCTAGCGACGCCAACACGTCATTCCGGCCGCTTCTTTTCGGCTTTTGCGAGGAGGGCATGTTGTTGCCTTGAACCTGTTTGGCCCATTTAAGGTGAGTTTGTCTTGGTAGGGAGATGATTTCAGCGCAAATCAATCAGGCGCCCTGAATTTTGGGGGCGTTCCCCCGATATCCATGGAGAGAGCTCTCGTTCTCCACTCGGTGCCTTACCCCTCGTGAACAAGAATCCGGAAGTTCGGGGGGTTTCCGCTTTAGCTCGCTGGGCGCGGGCCCCGAAGGCTGCCTGGTCAAAAGAAGTGAAAACCTGCGCGTGAACGGGAAAACCTGGGCTCCCTTTGGTTCTGTTCCGTGAAGAAGAAAACTAGTGGCTCCCTTTTTTGAGGTTCAATCTAGCTCGTGCCCCAAAGTCCCGCACCACTCGACCCGAAAGAGCGAATATGTTGACTGAGCCGAAGCTTCACGGATGGTTTCCTCATTCTCCACGTCATCCAAATGTCGGGGAAACGCCCCAGGAAGCTGATTTTAGCAGAACTTGTTAGACTGGGCAAAACGCCTATAGATTAGGCTTTCACAATGCGATTTCCTTTTTGAGGGTACCCGTTGTAAACGGAATCTGAAAGGGCGGGGTCTGCCCCATTTGGAGGCAGGCCATGGAGCGGTACCAGCAGTTGCTTCCGCTTGCCCCGAAGAGCCCCAGCGCGCGCAGGTAGCCACGTAGCAGCACCACTCCCGTACCTTGGCGAGCATCCCATGGCTGCGGCTAAATTGCCGATCACCAAGAAACCAAAGGAAGTGACTAAGCATCCTGGCGATTTTCCTGGAGTCAGCCATAAACCCAGGGAGAGGTTCTCTTGTGTTGTAGCCCATGTGGCGGTTCTTTGTTGAGCTGTTGCCCTTGTATCTTCCCGCATGACATCTTCAAAGCTTGGACAGCTCTTTGCGAAAAGCCCAAATACTACGTTGGATGGAGTGTGCACATTCATATTATGGGTGTGCCTTTTTTTAATAGACGCCCTATGTGTTCCGTGTGTTTTGGGGCAAGGATTCGGCTAAGGCAAGCCGTTGCACAGAAGAAAGTGGAGCAGGACGCCTCCAAAGAGAGTGAGGCCGGCAACGCGGTCGCGGCCGATGGTGCCCATGTTTCGTGTTGTCCGGAACACCGACGTTTAAGCTGCCTTAGGTATCTCTCCCTTCCCTTCGGGGATCAACAAGTCTCTTCAAGAATGCGGCCAAAGGTCGGGTGTTGTTGATAAAACTGGGTGGTTTCTGGGGGGCAGGATGGGTGAAGAGAAAATGGGGGAATCCACCCAAAACCTGGATCCCAAAGCCATCCAATGGAGGAATCTGATTTTCGGGACCCTATTTTTAGGTGTTGCAAATTTGCGGAGTGGTTCTCTTCCATTTGAGGTTGGTTTAGACCAACCAGACTCCCAACACATGATATGCGGCCAAGGCTTAGGACAGACGCTGTTTAACATGTTAAAGAGTAAGTGGGCAGAAGATGGGTGTGCTGTTGCCACGGGAGTCAACATTGCCAGGTGCGTTGTTCATCTAGAGACCGCCGCCGAATCGCAATGTTGCTAATGAACGAGAAGAGTGTGTGTGTAGCATTCGAAAGGAACCGGTCACCCAAATAGAGAGGTGTTTTCACTCTGGCTTGCCCTCCATAGAAAGTTGCACCCCTTGACATGGACGCTGACAATTGGTCTAGGGAAGAACGTAGTCCCTGCGTCCCTGCCATTCCTCGCATTGACGTCAAGCCACAGCACAGACCTCAAGTGCCACAGAAGTCGGACAAAGTTTGCCGAATCATCAGAGGGGTTCCTCTTAGAGTTCCATAGAGTTCCATCAACAGGCCAAGGCCACCAAGCGATCCCCGGCCCCAATGCACCGCGTTCGGGGGTCCCGCGGTCGCGTCGAGGAGTCCGACTCCTCGGACGAGGAAGGGCCCAAGCAGGGTTTCATCAGCTCATTGCTCCTCGGCGCAGGATTTGACACAGCTTGAGGTGCTTACAGGTTACGTCAGAACTTCTGGCGTTTCAACGGCAAAAGTCCTTTTTACGGAGGGAGAGAGAGAAACTCACCGCATCCTCCGCCCGCCGCCGCCGAAACGGCGGGGACTGGACAACGGCGAAGACAAGGAAGAAGCCAAAGAAGCCGAAGAGAGAGAGCGAGAGGGGGGGGGGGCCAAGACGAAAGCCCCAGCGCCGCCAAGGGCCGGGGACGTGCGTGCAAGACAGAGAGCCCGAGGCCGCAAAAACTCACGGGAAGTGCACGCAGGAGGGCGGGGGGGGGGAGGAAGGAAGCCGGCAGGCCCCCAACCCCCCAGTGCAGCAGAAGGCACGGGCGGCCGCCGAGCGGACACAGACTACCCAGGGCCGACAAAGCCCAGAGCAGCCCGCCGCCACAACAAGCGGGGCGCACCAGGCAGGGACAGCGGAGGGCGCCGCGGCAAGGGCCGGAGGGCCTCACGCGACGCGAAAACCACACAGCGCAGATGGGCCAATGTGCCATGGGGCTTCGACTTTGCGCTTTGTTGAAGCAACCTCAGCGGAAGCATCCTCGGCGTTTTGGTTTCCTGGTAGTTTTGGGCGTGTTGGACGTGTTGAATGGTTTCTAGGAGTTTTCGCGACCCCCGAACCAAAAAACGTATTTTTCTGATGTGCGGGTGTTTGCGGGATTTTGCGCACGTTTGCGGGCGTTTTGCGGGTAAATCCGGACGGGGAAAAAGGAACAAGAAACAAATTATGCAATCTCACGAACATAGCAGTTTTTCCAGTTTCAGACGACTTCACGAAAAAAACAACGATGTTTAGGAGAAGCAAGTTAAAGACGAGAACTACCAGGAAATTCATGGAGAAGAAATCTCCAGGATGTTTAAGCAACCACCAACGGTCCAGGATTTTGCGAGTGGCCTGGGTAAGAGAACTTGATGAAGCGTTTGCAACGCGAATGAACGGTTAGGCTTCCCGGCTGTCAATAACTGTCGGCTTTGATTGACAAACCAACGGCAGCACGCATGCTAGACGTTTATTGCTTGGTAAGTTACGCTTCATACCGCCAAGATGTGCCTGCAAGATTGTAAGATGTTCCGTAACTTGCGAAGCTCCCTCGTGACTTTTTGCGAGGCGAATCTGCTGGGTAGTTTTTGGTCAAACTGTGTATTTTTCTTGACCACGCAGTGGTTGGTTCTCCCCCGCAGATGGCAAGCTAGGGCGGATGGTGGTTTGGGGAACCGAGGTTTTCCAGATCCACGTGAAGATGGACTCACTCAAGATGAGCCATCTCGACTCCAGCCAGTGAAATTCGAGCACAAAAGGTGCGGAGAGTGAAATTCACCAATGCCTCACTGGCGCTCGAAGCGCCGTGGATTTCTGCAGCTAATGGACTTACAGCAATGTGAAAAAGTTTGGATCGGTATGCCAGAGTCTGAGTCGCCTAGTTGGTCTTGTATCTTGCTGAAGTTGAAATTTGCGGCACGGCAAGCAGGCCAGTATTGCAAATATGGCAAATCTGCACCAGCACATGCAGTGAACAAGGCTTGTCTAATATACTGATCCGGACTTGCAACACTGGGTTGCTCCCAGCAACCAAAGACCAGATGATAGGAAGTACATGGAGTAGGGTTGTTCGCGAAGCTTTGCAACTGCTTGATTGCCCAGACAACCCTTGGCTACCACTACCACTTCTTTTTGATTTAGCATGTTGCACTATGCCGGACGTAGACCGAGTTGCTCACGCTGGCGGATATTGCTCACGATCCTTTCTGTGCTCATTTCTCAAGTCAGGTGTCGATCTGGCCACTTTGTGCTCTGTTTCCCCTGGAGGGTGTGTCTTTGTTTGGGTTTGCCCCCAAAAAATGGCTGGTGTCCTTTTGGTTTCCCCTCAAAACCGACCAATTGGGTTCCCCACAAAAAAAAAAAAAAAACGCCCACTAATCAGCAAGAAGCTCAGCTTGTTGCGCCAGGGGCAATAGCCACCAAGGATCCTAGTTAAAGGAGACAGACCGCACACCGCCTTCCCCAAATCGGCCAAAAAGGCCACCTGAACACACTTCGGGTTCCGAAATCTGTTGCTTTTTTAGCCCACACAAATAGATGTTGCTCTTGCTGGGCGTTTGCTCTCGCTCGGTTCTTTTTTTTCTCTCTCTCTCTCTCTCTCTCTCTCTCTCCTAGGCCTTGTCCCCCACGATTTGGGAGGCTCTTTTTGGATCTTGCGGACCCAATGAGGGCCCAGAAATCCGCTCAGTCGGGTCGCATGAGTGTTTTAAGGGATATAGTTTGAGCCGTGTTTACCCCTTTAAGATGTTTGAAGACTTTAAATGCGTAGACATTGATTGGGCGGGCAGGTTTTGTGGCTTTGAAGGGAAGCCGCCAAAAAAAAAGAGCAGACAACCGCCATCTTTAGGGTTTTTCTAGACCAGGCCACTGGAGTATGTGTCCAACTGGGGGGTCCCAAACCGCCAAACCGGGGTCGCTGAAGCCTCTGGCCGCCTGGGCCAGGCTCGCCCGGATGCCGGAGGGCCACGGGGAGCGGCTCCAGATCGGAAGATACCAGGCGCCGAGAGGGAGTGGTTGCCTCCAGCGGTTTACAAGGCTGTCGCTTTTGGACGCTCAGGCTTTTTGGGCGGTGCCCAGCTTGGACACAGGTTTTTTGTTTCTTCTTCTTCGTTTCTGAGGGCATTTTTTTTCAGCCTTTCAGTGCCCAAATTTGGAGTTGTGGGAAACGAGGGGCTGGGTTTGGTATTGTAACAAGCCCGAGAAGCAGACACAAACAGATCAGGTTTGGGCAATCCTCAGATTGATTCATGTTTTAGTCACCTATGGTTTAAACGCTGTTCTTTATGGTTGCTTTCAAAGGTGACCGGGTTGTGCTATCTTCATCTTTCTCCCCTCAGGGCACTTTGCCGGGAGTGGAAGGCTAGGTTTTCACCATCACCCTGGTAAAGTCGCGGTGTCGCAAAAGGGTGTGCCGCCGAATTTGTGAAGGGAGGCCGCCCAATTGTGTGGGTCCACCATTAGCTACGCGCAACCTGTGAAAGCGACCAGATGTAAGAAACAGCGGATAGATTCTAATAGATTGGCTAGACGAGATAGAAAAGATAGATGGTATAGACAAGGCAGATGTGGTATATAAGATAGATAAGGCAGAACAATCCAATCGACAGAAAAATATGGATAAGACCGATAACATAGACAAGACAGACAGTGTAGATAAGGAAGCTATGGCAGATGGGATGGAAAGCATGGAATGGTGCGGTGTGGAGTGAGAGTGAGAGTGTGAAAGTGAGAGTGGAGTGGAGTGCAGGGGAGTGGAGTGCAGGGGAGTGGAGTGGAGTGGAGTGGAGTGGAGTGGAGTGGAGTGGAGTGGAGTGGAGTGGAGTGGAGTGGAGTGGAGTGGAGTGGAGTGGAGTGGAGTGGAGTGGAGTGGAGTGGAGTGGAGTGGAGTGGATTGGATAGCTAGATGCATAGATAGGTAGATACAGAGGGCCGTGGTTGGTTTCCTTGGTCGGGTGCCCGCTTTTGAGACAGACGCATCTCAGCCCACGTGCCATTGAAAATAACCGCGCCCGACATTTGTGCGATGCTAACGGAAGCCCCTTTCAGGTGATATAGTGGCGGATTGCCCGCTTTGGCATCACAAATTTCAGGTTGGTGTTCTTCACTGCTACTGTCTAGCAGGTGTCATTTTTGCCTTGGTTGGTTCTGTGAGTGGGGGCTGCAAAGATTCGCTGCTTGTTTTTCCTAGCATACCAGGGGCTGCGCTTTTGCAGGTGGGCGAAAAATACGACTGCCACTACGACTCGGAGGCGCCACCTGGCGCTTCGGTTCGGTCTTTTTCGCGAACGGCGTTTGAAACGAAACATATCTTGATCCCCAGAAGAATATGGGCTGGGCTCCCAATAGGGGTACCCAAAATGGGAAACGGTTTCCCTCAAAAGGGGGGGTATTCTCAAAAAGCCACACCCTGATTTCTTGCAAGAACCCAGCGCGCTGAATAGATCATAGTCGATTTGTCCTGCACCAGGCCCCGAACGAAGCATTTGTTAGCTGTTAGGGTCGTTCAGGGGTCCTGGAAGCGCTGGAAGATGGTTGTTTATTTCCCACCTCCCCAGATTTTTGTCGGGACTCCCGCTGCAACTTGACAAATGAAGCACAGGGGTGGTCACTAATTTACCACAAGTCAGACCTGCGCTCAGGTGCGAGTTGGTGTCGTTCGTCCCGCCACAGCGCCCCGTCGGCAGGTTTGGGGAAGCCGGAACTCTGCAAGTGTTTTCCATTTTTCTGACATCACGGCCGACGGCCAGGGCCTTTCCTGTGACCAAACAACACACCCAAAGCACTACGGGAAAACGGCTGGTTTCAGAGACGAAGAATGCTTGTAGAGACAGCGGAATCAGGCTTTTCAGAGTTGCGGGTTTTCAAAAGATGTTCGAACCACATAAATTTTGTGTTTTTGTTTGTCGTCTAGGGACCAAATGTTGTGCCTGATCGGGTCTCGGGATTAACCTGGACAAGTGTATGAATGCAAACAGCGGCATCAGTTGTATCCATCCCTGGGGTTCTTAGTTTGTAGATTGAGATGTATACTCCCTTTGCGGTCGGTGAGAATATGAAGCCTCCCTGACCGACGGGAAGCAAGAGTTTTGGCACTAGTGTGTTCGTCCGTCCTTAGTTTGAAATTTGCTTTGGTTAGATTATCAGGTTATCACGTCAAAACTACCAGTCAGGACTATAACAAGGTCCGTTCACCCCAACAAACGATTCCCGTTTCAACCAGGGTCACTGGTTGCAACAGGGTTATTGCACTTTACCCGAACTTTGCAAGAACAACTTGCTGTGGATCGGGCATTTCCACAAGGGTGTTCCCCTTTTTGTGTGGCTCTGAAAGGAAACCAAAGGCAAAGCCACCATTTCAGTGTCCCCTAAAAACTCCACACCAGGAATCCGTTCGCCAGGTCATCGTGTACCTGTCTGAGGTGGAAGGTGGGGAGACTCTCTTTCCCATGGGCCAGGACGGGTTGGGCTCACCGAAGCACCGAAGGGTTATCTGATAGCTAGGTCTCCCAGCTAGGTGCCCTTTTACCGTTTCTTTTTTGGGGGAGGGTGCTCCTACTAAAAGGGACTGCAGAAAACAGGGCACCCTTATTCTATCCTCTCTACTGGAGGACCTAGATAGTAGGTAGTTCCACTCAGTTGCCCAGTGGATTCCGCCAACTGTTTCACCTTTTTTTTGGGGAAGGGTTCCGATTCCTGTAAAGTCAACCAACCAGAAAAGGATGCCGATGTTTTTTCCCATTGGCCACACGGCATCTGAGTCTACTACCTGGTTCAATTGAGAATAATTTTAGTCAGGCCGATATAGACCTTTGTAACCATGCTTAGTAGAATCAATCAATGGGTTTGGTCGCTGCTCATTTAAATGTCAGCCGTAATTTGTTGCCCAGACCTGTGTATGTTGTGTTGTTTCCTTTTCTGAAAGTGTGATCTAGAAGAGTGATTGAGCAAAATGCTGCTGAAGCAAAATGTTTGCGTGATGTTTGACTCTGGTTAAGATGGCTGAGTCTGCTCATTGCTAGCTTGCCTCCTGCATTTTAGAAATAGGGACCCAAAGTGTGTGTTTTTCTTTGGCGGCGGGTCCACCACTATTACTTGCGCAGGATTTTTTTTTGGGGGTAGGCTGAGAACAACTTGTTCTTTGAAGAGACCCTCGAAAGAGTCACAGGATTCTCAATGAGGCAAGCAACTTTCTATTAAAGCGACCATAGAACCATAGATATAACAGCAGGTCCCACATTCCCTTTTTTGGGGCTGCCTGTTTTCTGCCTTCGGGCTGTCTAGCCCACACCCCACTTGGGGGTCAAGGATTGCCACGTGCTGGGCAGCTGCTGCAACTCCACGGCACCGGGGTTGAGGTGCGAGAGTTGAGCGGGCGGTGTCCCAAGGTGGGGGCAACTCCCAAAAATGGGTATAGGTCAAAACTAAACCACCAGGGGACCGCAAGTCTTGATCCATGTTTCCACTTACCTGGGCATTTGGGGTATCTATTTTTGACCCACAGCCAAATGCGTGGACGTTCTTGGAATTCCCTTTGAACAACCCTAAACACGGTACACTCTACAAAACACCATGTGTGAAAGTGAGGGGACCCCAAACAATATGTTCTGCGCGCGACGTTCTTCCTTTGATTTCCAACATGGTGGACCAAACATGACAGCAACTGTTCAAGCCGCAAAAAACCACCTGCCAAGAGGCAAATACGATACATCATAGTGGCTGGTCTTGAGATGTCCCATTGAAACTGTGAAAGCTTAGATTGAAGAGAATAACCTGCTTCAAGATGGTGCCCACTCCTTGTCAAAGTTCGAAAGGGCCTCCAACACATGCGCAAACGAAGTCGCT